CTGGTTGCCATCCCTTTGAGAGACTTGAGCATGTTAATATCCAGGGTGAGTGAGGGAACTGTGACAGAGACTCAGACATCTGGGGTACCATCCACTATGGCCGAAGTCCAAGTGGCCTAGCAAATGCCGAGAAGAAATGCCAGTGCAGGTATAGGTGAGTGTCCTGCTCCCACGGGAAATATGGCAGGGGAGGCTGCTGGGAGAGGCTTTGGGTGAAACGTGATGGAATTTCCACTAATTTCCATGCAGGTACAGCCTCTTAGATCTCTTAACGATAACCCCTTAGTTTTCTGGGTTGGAAATGGGAGAAACTTGAGCTGATAACCTAGACTTCAGCACAGTCAGTGGCCTTCATAACACTCCAGTAATTAGCACATTTCTGGGGGTGGAAGTGGTAAAGTAATGGGTCCTGGCAAGTCCACCTCTCCTTTCTCCTGCCAAAAATAAGAGAGTAAATTAATTGTCCAATTTGTACATTTTTAGAGAGTGTTATGAGCAAAACCAGCAATTCTGGTCAGACAAATGCTTGGTCTCACCTGGCTGTGCTAACCATGAGCCTGAAGAAAAGAAGATATTTCTTGACTTGAACTTCTGAATGCTGTATCTTCTCTCTAATTTTTGGAGGTGGGAAAAAAATCTACAAGGAAAATTTGAGTATCTGTAATGTCCTCCACAACCCAACTAGCATGAACCCCTCATCAAACATTCTTTTGTGGGCAACTCCCTTAAACCTCAAAGCCAACAGAGGAAGAATTCTTGGGGGAGCTCGAATGGGAGGTCCCTGGTGGCTTGGGCAGCCACAGTCTCCATCTGTCTCAACAGGGCAAGGATTACTATGGTGTGCCTCCCAGCAAAACCCTATTCCATACGTTCCGAGCCTGGGGCTAAATAAGAAGTGCCCCGATGCCAAAGTAAATGAGGCTCCTCCTTGGAGGGTGGCTAACTCCCTGCATTTAGACCACAGCTGAAAGGGCCCTTGGAAAACTTTTGGAAACCTCCCCGAGGAAAATGGAAGAAATGTACACACTGTCCCTGTGTCTAGTGAGACAGCACTGAACGGGCTCTGCAAACAACTGCAGGGTTTCTCGGGGAGGTGCCACTTTCTGACATGGGGCCCTCCCTGTAGAGGAAGCCCCGACAGTTGGGTTGATTTGCAAGTAGTGAGCAATTCCGGGCGATGATCCCAAGCCAGGAGTAAGGGGACTTTCTCTCGTCAAAGGCACAGGTCCTAGATGGGGGGCAACTTCTAATCCCCACCCCCTCTTTTTGTCCTCCTTTCCTCCAAACCACCCAGAAGCAATCTCTTAACAGGTTTCTCAACTTCGTACCTTTTGAAAGCCAAGAGGAGGCTAGTAGGAGTTGAGTGAGGGCCGGGGCTGGCCAACTGGGAAAGAATTGAAGTTCATCTCAGAAGCGCTACATCAGAGGACAGTGGGTAGAGTGGTAGCAGCCCCTGATTATGCAATGACAGCCCCAGAGTGGACTCCCCAAGCCCTATCCAAGCCTGTGGAGATGAGAGGTAAGCCTGGACAGTTGCCTCTTGGAGGTTTCCTGAGCCCGACCTAGCCCCACCTGGCCTTCCAAGAGAGGGAGTGCATCCTCCCAAGTGGGAAGCCTCCCCAGGTCTGCATGAGACGGAAGTACCTGGACAACAGGGAAGGGAGGAGGGCCAGAAGACAGGTCAAGGCCAAGGTCCCTGACTCCTCTCACATGACTCCATTTAAGTTTGCTCAGAGTTCCTGCTCTGGGAGGTACTCAAGCCCCTTTAGAGCTGAAAAGTCTGTGCTCGTAAGAGCCTGCTAAAGCAGAGTTTAAGAAACTGCCAAATAAAATGATTAGCTGGTTTTCTGTCTAGGTGGCTGCACCAAGTCACCTCTGTGTGTGCGGTCACTTGGATGATACCTCACAATCAGTTTTAAGGCAAGTAGGCACCTATTGCCCTGGTACATATGTGACCTGAAACACTCAGTCTCCCTGGTTATGTAAAGCAGTCGCTTGGAGGAAATTCTAACAGGGACCAGGTTGACACTATTTCCTCTCGAGAATGCAACGTGATGATCAGAACTGCTCAGATGGAGTGAGATGGTTCAGACTTGGAAGGACACCCAGGGCCCACATAAGGAACCCACTTCTAGGGAAGGGTAAGTCTAGAGGATAATCTGGCTCAATTCCCCAACCAGCATGTCCGTTTGGAAGCTGGTTTGGGCAGGTTGTGTGACTGAGGCTTGAACTGCACCTGATAGAAGTACTCATTTCAGATCCCAAGGGCTCCAGAACTCCTCCATGCTAGTATCTTGGTTCACAGCCTTCACCATGCATCAGAATAACCTGGGAGCTTAAAAAAACAAACAGACTTCAACGGCAGTGGGGCCCAGCCCATTTTTCTAAAGACTTCCCAGCATGATGGTGTTTCTGATGTGTCAGCTGTGCTGGGCTACAGGCCCCAATTACTCAGTCAAACACTGATCTCAGTGTTGCTGTGAAGGTGTTTTGTAGATGGGATTAGCATCGTTTCAGATGAGCTCCAGTGTTTATTAAAATGGGTTCTAATTTTATGAGTCACCCATCATCATTTTCCTACGGCACTTTTTTAATTGAGTAAAATTCACATGACATGAATTTTAACCATTTTGAAAGTGAACAATTCATCAGCATTTAGTACATTCACAATGTTGGGCAATCACCACTTCTATCTAGTTCCAAAACATTTCATTACCCGAAAGAAAATCCTATACCCATTGAGCAGTCACTCCCATTCTCACCCTCCCTACCCCTCCCCGCCAGCCTTTGGCAGCCACCAATCTGTTTTCTCTATGAATTTAACCTGTTCTGAATATTTCATACAAATGGGATTATACAACGTGTAATCTTTTCTGTCCAGCTTCTTTTACTTAACATAAGGTTTTTGAGGTTCATCCATGTTGTAGCATGTATTAATAGTTATTTTTTATGGCAGAAAAATAGTTGGCTGTTGTATGAATATACTACAATTTGTTTATCCATTTGTCCATTGATGAAAATTTGGGTTGTTTCTACCTTTTGATAATATTGTGAATAGTGCTGCTATGAATATTTGTGTACAAGTATTTATTTGAGGACCTGTTTTCAGTTCTTTGGGGGTATATACCTAGGAGTGGAATTGCTAGGTCATATGGTAATTCTGTGTGTAACTTTTTGAGGAACCTTCAGACTGTTTTCCACAGTGGCTGTACCATTTTACATTCCCACCAGCAGGAGGATTCCGATTTCTCCACATCTTCACCAACACTTGTTATTTTCCCTGGTTTGTTTTGTTTTTATTTGTAAGTTGTCTTATCTCCTATGTTTCAATAGGTGGTTTGGTTATAGGGACCCTAGATCAGCGGCTTTGAGGGAGAAAGATCTGGTGATCTGCTTCCATGAAGATGATTGTTGTTGGGTGTTGTCAAGTTGATTTCTTTTCGTAGCAACCCCATGCAGAATAGAACTGTCCCATAGGGTTTTCTAGACTGTAATCTTTATGGGAGCAGATCGCCAGGTCTTTTTTCTGCGGAACCGCTGGGTGGATTCGAACCACCAACCTTTCGATTAGCAGCTGAGAGCCTAACCATTGCGCCACCAGGGTTCCTTCTGTCGCCTGGGGTCACTATGAGTCAGAATCCATTCTATGGCACACAACAAGGGCTTGCTGACAACTTGGTGAGTCGTAAGGGCCTTTCTCTCCCTCCTGCTGTTGGATTTCATTTTAAGGATGTGTAGGTCGAATCAGTTGCCAGGAACCACTGCTTCCTCTCTCTGTGCTTTCCTCCCGGCTTTGGAACCTCTCACATCCCGCCCTCCACAAATTCAGGTTCTCCCTTCAACCTGGAAGATCACTGCCCTCTGGTGGTCACATGCTGCAATAACTACTCCCTCTACAAAAGCTGTTGGCTGAAAGCAGTTCTGGGAACTTCTAGCTCTGATTTCTGTTTAGACCAAGGCAGCTCACGTGCTGCAGTTAAGCCTTTGCTGGAGAGGGGAGAACTGGCCCGCTGTCTATTTACTCTGTCACTACTATCCGTGTATGACCTTTGGCTCCTCTGTGGGTCTCTGTTCCCTACCTGTTAAATGAGGGGATTAAAATAGATTATCTCCAGTTTTAACGTTCAGGATTCAATGGCTTGTGATTTGGCCCAGTCATTCATTCAACAGATACTTCGAGACTCTCTATGCGTCAGGTGTAGAAGCATGGGATACATCAGAAAGCAAATCTCTGCATTTGGGAACTTTAAATTATTGTAGGAGGAGACAGGTAATAAGCACCTCTCAAAGTGGGAACTGGTGGCACAGTGGTTAACTAACCAAAAGGTCAGCAGTTTGAATCCATCAGCCGCCCCTTGGAAACCCTATGGGACAGTTCTACCCTGTCCAATGGGGTCGCTATGAGTTGGAATTGACTTGACGGCAATGGGGTTGGTTTTTGTTATAATAAAGAAGTAAATGACATAGCACGTTAGGTGATCAGTGCTATGGGGTAAACAGAGCAGGTACGGAGGATCAGGATGGTGGCAGAGGTGAGAGATAGGGAAGGGTGCAACTTTAGACGATGTAGTCAGGATAGTCCACCTGGAGGAGGAGGTAACTTATGAGCAAAGACCTGTAGGAGGAGGATATAAGGGAATTACTAATGCAGTATTGTGAGGATGGCACAGGACTGGGCAGCGTTTCACTCTGTTGTACATAGGGTCACTATGAGTCAGAACAGAGGGACGAGCATTCCAGGCAGAGGAAAATCCATACAAAAAAAATTTGAGTGTGTGTCTGAGAGTTGAGTTTTGATGATGTGGCAGAAGTAATGGTATACAGCTACTATTTTTACAATATATTTAATTCTTAAACTGTACTTTGTAAATTTCTTTTCTAGAATTTCCATCTAGGAATCCCATTTCTACTCCATTCATCCTGGAAATACCCAAGGAAGAACAGTAACAACAAAACGACACATATTCAATTGAAGAAATTTATTTACTTTTTTTTCCTAGGTACGTAGATGACATAATTATAGACAAGCTTTGATACATAGGAAAACCCTTCTGTCCAACTCTCTTTTTGCTAAATGAGTCATCACAATAATTTTTACAATTTTTAAAACAATACACAGCTTTCTTGGGCTGAAGCAATTGCAAGAACATATTGGTACTGGTATATTACAGCTACTTACAATGTTTAAGAACAGCCACGGAGAAAAATAAGTTATTTAAATATTGATTTCATATACAGAAAGTGCAATGTTGTTAGTTGTTATATAACTTGCTTGACAGTTTGTTTTCTCTATCAATTTGAAATCAAGATAACTTGGACTCAGACTACTCGATTTTTCTTTTTTTCTGAAAATAATACAGTGCACCCATGCGGTGGCGACTTGGTGAACTGGCCTCTGTTGCTGCAGTTACAAAAGCAAACTCGGCTACGTCAGGAACTGGTTTCCAGTAGACGAGTCATTTCTATTACACCCACACCTGGGTTCAGGAACAAGCAAGGGCCTCTGAGTAAGGCAAGGTCATGAGAACATGCCTGCTTCTTGGTTATCTGGGAATGTAAATAGTAGTGGGGGCTGGCTGGCTGGCTGCTTTTCCTTCCAGACAGCTTCTGAAGCAAAAATTATACACAATGGATGTGTAGCTACCTGAGCCGAACTACCTTTCCAGGTTTCTTTTGTGCTTTCAAAACACCGAACAATTTTTACTGTTTCGCAGAATTCTGTACCAAATGCAACTGATTGAAACTGGATATTGCTGAAGCCACCCCCTGTCTACTAACACCCACCGGTGGTCCCAAACCACCGCAGTCAAATGTCACACGCAAATATTCGGGCTCTTCTGCATCCACTGAAAAGTTTAAAGCAAAAGAAGACCAAACAAACACTAAAGATATAAAAGAAGATTTGAAAAAAAAAAAAAATGCAATAAAATAAAAACCGCAGACATCTCAGACTAGAAAGACCTCCCATTGAACATTATTCATGGTCCCTGATTTTGATTTTCTATGCAAAGGAAATCATTTCCAAAGAAGGGTTTGGCATTGTTAGACACTCAAATCCAGAAAGTTCCCTTTTCTGGTGCTACTTTGACTTAAATGAAAATCCAGCACAGAACGTGAACTAAAACTTGGAAATGCACATTGGATTTCTTCTTTTCCTTTGTTACCTCTAACTTGACTCTTGTGGTCTTTTTGCTCAGCTTTAGCAATGAGCAGGATGTCTCAGAATGTGAAGCTGGCAGACTGCAAAAGCATGAAGAGCCTGTTCTTGCCCGTCTCCACCACATTACTTAAAATATGCCTAAATGATGTAGTTACGTGAGAACCCTGCAGCCTTGCTACATTCCAAATGTGCTGTGTTCACAAGAACGTCAAAACTTGAGAGGACTAAAACGAGCTGGTTTTAAGAGTTTGGCTGAAGTTTGGCAGCTGTAGCCTTTCTACATTTCTACCACATCTTCATGTGGTATCTTACAGTAGGTGAATGTTATTGAAGAAACATACATTTATTTTACAAAAATGCATATACCAAAGCATGAAAAAAAAAAAAAAAATATCACCTGAGAACATCCTTTTCCTCAGAAAACATGGATCCAGGTATATAAAGCAAATGCTAGAGATGCCTTTCTCATAAATGGAATCACTTTTTCTCTTTCCTGAGGGAAATCATTTGTTTTAATGAGCAGATGAAATACTACATAACTTTTGATCAAGGCCTTGTGTTCAAAGTGTTTCTGGTGTAAATGATCACATCTGAGGCTTAAAGTGGTGCTCATAATAAAAACATAAAGGAAAATCACTTTGTAGGCAATGAAGACCTTAATAGTTTGTTGTCTAAATTTGCTGTTTGCTGGAAAATCAGACACTAGATTAAAAGATGACAGAATATGCTAAAACCAGCTAGAAAGCAACTGAAAATATGCAAATACTTAATACATAGCTAGCGTGGTTTGTCTGGCTTCATAATGAACCCTTGTTTGAATTAAAAGAATTACCTAAAGAAGAAAAGAAGTAAGATAACAACATCTTAATTATAACACTTAAAAAACTTAGAAAATATCTTATAAACTACTTCCCTTTTTAAAAACATCTTTCTGGAACATTCAATCTTACAATGACTTTTCGCAAAGGTGACCTGTTAGCTGATGACTGAAGTTTGGAATGGATATAGTCCAGATTCCAAGTCAAAGCTGCAGCACAATGACCAACATGGTAACAAAAATAAACTGATTAAAATGAAAGGTAGTTACTGCACACACACACGCACATATACAAGACATCCTTGTGTATTTCAGATAGCTTCTTACTGGATTTGTAGTTAGTTTAAAAACCGAAAGCCAACATGAAATTTGTGCCTGATAAACACCCCTACAAAATAAGCCATGTCAAAATGAAACATTAGAAAAGCCCATTTTGCTGAAAACACCCCAGATACACTAGACGGCAGTCTAAGCTGAAGGTTTGGAACTATGGTTACAGGGTCATGAACACGAGTAAAATCACTGCTCAAAGCTTATGTTAAGGCAAATAAAAGCTGATTGCTAGAAAGCAATTATTAACATGTTTCTTGTTTATCTAAAGGAGAACAGGGCTTTTTTTTCCTTCTGGTGCAGCCAGATTTGTTTACTTATAAACAAATGAGCATGGTCCATAGAGTACACTAATTCCCGAGTCTGTTACTTTGGCCTAGCTAAAGGCCGTCTGGCCCTCAGGCGTCCTGCAGGGTGACAGACAGAAGGGCAAGGGCAGGAATGGGGTGCCCCTCCTTCTCCACCCCACCCTCTCCCAGCTCACAGAGACAGCCTGGAGGCGAAGCGTTTCCGGCTAGCTGGCATGTTGGTTCTTTTGTGTTCTGCAAATAAAAATAAGTACTTGTCTTTTCTTTGGGGGTTGAGGAGAACCATGCCAATTTCCTCGAGAGGGGGTTTTTCTGGAGGAGAGAGGGTCCTTAGTCCTGTGCCAAGGTTTCGTGCTGTGTTTGGCTGCACACTGGGCCTTTCTTTTGGGTCTGGTCTGCACATCCAGGGGTGAAGGAGTTGCATCATAAGCACAGTGAAAGGGTGGCTCTTGTCCAGGGAAGTTCAACCATGGCCTGGCTACACGGCCTCGGGGCCTGGCGGCAGTTTGAAAAGTCTGGCTGCAGATACGAGCTTGCTTATGTGCCTCTCCTCTGTGATGCCAGCCTCCTGAAGGCAAGTGTGGGACAGAGAAGGCACTTGGCTCAGTGTGCTGAACCCCGCTTCTGTCAGGGCACTGGCGTACATGGGCAGACCGATGGAAATCAGCCAGTCAGACACGGACGACACGCATCCAGGAGAGAGGGGCTTTCTACAGATTTCCGTGAGGCCACCACTTGGGATCTGGACAAAGAAAGAAGGCAATGTTATAGAATCAACACACGCCACTTCCTTCACGCTAAGAAGAAGAGTCCTGCAATCTTTCACTGCTGGACTATTATCTGAAAATGATGACGTGAGACGCCAAGGACTAGGATGAAAAGTCCTTTCTTGACTTCTTAAAGACGAGACAAATTCTGAAGGATGTGTAGGTGTCTCTGGGTGGTGCTAATGGTTAATGCACTTGGCTGCTAACCAAGAGGTTGGTGGTTTGAGTCCACCTAGAGATGCCTCAGAAGAAAGACTTGGTGATCTACTTTCAAAACATCAGCCACTGAAAACCCTACGGAGCAGTTCTACTCTAACACACGGGGTCGCCATGAGTCAGCATTGACTTGACAACAACTGGTTTTTGTTTTGTTGGTTTAGGTTCTAGAAGGTATATGGAATTAGAGCAAATGCCAATTATGTGTTCAAATCTCCAAACTGTAAGCATTTGTCTCACTGTACTGGGATCTACAATGAGAGAACCCTAAGGTTATTTGAAGCGGCAAACCTGTGTAATAGTGTAGAAGGTAAGATATTCAATGGCTATGGTTTTTATAAAGTACATTTTCCACTGTATCTTGAATCTATGTTAACAACCAGAAAATTAGACATTTAATGAATATAGTTACAAAGAATTTAATATACAATAATGTAAGTGTTGTCTAAGGCAGGGAAATGGACATTTGTACTCTACTACTTGAAATATTCACCAGTTTGTCATACTGTGGTGGCTTGTGTGTTGCTGTGATGCTGGAAGCTAAGCCGTGGATATTTCAAATACCAACAAGGTCACCCACAGTGGACAGGCTTCAGCGGAGTCTGCAGAACTCAGAGAGATTATAAAGAAAGACCTGGTGATATACTTCTGAAAATTAGCCAATGAATACCCTATTGATCAGACAGAATACTGTCTGATATAGTGCCAGATGAGCCCTTTCGGTTGGAGGGGACTGAAGATACACAGCAGCAACAACATGCACTCATATATGCCAATGGTCATGAAGATGTGGCAGGACTGGGCAAGATTTCATTCTGTTGTGCATGGGGTCACCATGAGGGGAAGCTGACTCGATGGGGACCACCACCAACAACAACAACCAGAAAAACAAAATGTTACACCTTTCAGAAAACTAATTTGCTCACAAGTATAAAAATCCTTGAAATTTTGCATAGTCTCAATCAAGCAAAATCTCTTCAAGGAATATATCCTTAGAACTTAACCTTGGAAGTTTGCAAAGATTTATTAACAAGGATGTTCTTCACTGTATTTTTACGATAAAAAGTTGGAAACAATCTAAATGTTCAACATAGGAGATTATGGCTAAACTACGGTACTTCTATCTACTAGAATACTTTGAAACATTAATACAGGGGAACAGATTTACTATCTGATAGCTGAAAATAATCAAGTTTCAAAATAATATTGTTTACTATTGCATATATGCACAGAGAAAAGACAAGACAGATGTACAAAAAGTTTTTAACTGTGCTGGGATTATGGATGATTTTTTTTTTCCAAAATTATATTTTCAAAAATTGCTATGCTGAACCCTGAAACTATTGCCCTGAGATAATCTTTAAATCTTAAACCTAAAGTATCCCCCTGAAGTCTTCTTAAAAACAAACAATAGTTTAGCTTAACTACTAAAAAACGTCTGCCTTGAGCATTATGCTTTTAAGATCTACCTGCAAACCTGGTAGCGTAGTGGCTGCTAACTGAAAGGCTGGCAGTTCCAACCTACCAGGTGCTCCTTGGAAACTCTCTGGGGGGAGTTCTACTCTGTCCTATAGGGTCACTATGAGTTGGAATCAACTCCATGGCAACAGTTGTTTTTTTTTTTTTTTTTTTTAATATGGGATCAAATTGACAACAGCAACTCAAATTATTAGACAAGAAGCTCAGGGGGCAGAGAGTTTATGTTAATGGGGGAGGAGCAACTCAGAAAAAGACGGCGAGAATGGCTGTACAACTCCAAGTAACCAAAGTCACTGAACTGTACCTGTGAAACCATTGAACTGGTGTAAGTTCTGCTGTGTATATTCTCAATAACAACAAAATAAATAAAAAAATTTCTAGGCTGAACATATATTACTTACTCCCCGCTCCCCCCAAGTATCTCCTGTCTAGAGCTATAATGAACCCTTGGCTAGTCAGCAGTTGCCAGCACGGGAATCCTTAAAGCACCATAACTAGATGCACTTCAGAAGCTGTGTGCAGGAAAATGCAAAGTGCGGGCTGCTCACCGCCATGCGGTGCTGCTTGCGAAGCAGCTTCACGCGGATCTGGTCCATGTTGGTGGCGACGTCCCTCTCAGGCTGATCCAAGTCCTCCGCGTATCTTTGTACCAGGGCTTCCGGAATCCCACAGCGGCCGTGCTGCGACGGAAGAGCAGAAACGTGGCATCAGGGGAGCAAGAACTGTTAGCCTTTCTCCACGATACATCAAAAATAAGGGAGGGTAAGGCATTTAGCTGCTGGAAAATATCACTCAAAGTTTTTTTATTTGAAATTAAACCAAGATTTTCTGGACCAAAGCCCTCACCTCACCCTGCCCAATCATTGCTCAAAATATGGTCCCTCTGATGTTACTGAAGATGGTTTGCTAAATTGCAGGAGACAGGGTCAAGCATCTGCTCTATAGACATTCTACTTTTTAGGCTTCATCTATTAAGAGTTAAGGAGTTCATAGGTGGCACAGATGGTTAAGCACTCAACTACTAACCAAAAGGTTGGCAGTTCGAACCCACCCAGAGGCACGTCGGGAGACAGGCCTGGCGATCTGCTTCCTAAAGGTAACAGCCTTGAAAACAGTTCTACTCTGCACACGTGGGGCCGCCATGAATCAGAATCGACTCAAGGGCAACTGGTTTGGTTTTGTTGGTTATGAAAAGTTAAACTGCCATGTCACTACCAGCATTTAGAGTAGAATTCTAGAAGATCTTTCCATTCACTAAACATAGAGGAGGAGGAGGAAGAGAAGAAGAAGGGAAAAGGAGAGCTTATTGTAAGGCATTCTTGGTCATCAGATTTCTATAACGACTCCCAGAAATCTATTATAGCAAGACATGTATTTCCAGGAGCAAAGTACAGCCACATCTATTATCGTTTATCCATTCCAAAGTCATTTTGGTATTGCTAGATCAACTTTTTTTTTTTCCCAGATGAAAATTATTTTTTATTACAGATCTAAATGTTTTTTGGTATGAGAAGAGTATTTTATATAATCTTATTTTTTTCCTGTTACACACACAGTTAATTATACAGTAGAGTTATTACATCTGAACAGTGTTCTACGATTCTCAAAGTATGCTCACATCTGTTTTATCTGCTCCTATTAACACCTCTCAAAGGCAGATATGCGGGTTGCTATTAACCCCATTCTATATGTGGCGAAATGAAGTGGGAAGAGGTGAATGTCTGAAAATCCACATGTCTAGTAAGACATGGAAACTTGAACTCTGGTCTCTCCTGGGCACTGAATCATTCCTTTCAGAAACCGATTCTAGCACTGATAGCTCTCCCTGCAAAGTATAAAACCAAAAACACAAACCAGTTGTCCTCAAGTCGATTCCGACACACGGTGACTCCATATGTTACAGAGTAGAACTGCTCCATACGGTTTTCATGGCTGTGATCTTTTGGAAGCAGATTGCCAGGCCTTTCTTCTGAGGCACCTCTGGGTAGGTTCTAACTGCCAACCTTTTTTGGTCAGCAGTTGACCGCTTAGCTGTTTTGTACCACCCAGGGACTCTGCAAAGTACAGCTGCCAAAAATTAAAAACAAACACGCAAAAGTAAAATGAAAGAAAACTCCGAGGCTGCCTGAGATTTAATATGAAGACTGTGCTCACCACTTGTCAGCCGCAGCAGCTGTCTGGACAGTCCACCCAGCTGGGGCTGCCGCCTGGCCCCTCAGAGCGGCCAGAGCGTTCATCTGACCTGGCTGCCTGATTACAAAAGCAAAGGCCTATGGAATTGGGGACAGGGCCTTCAATACCTTATCAGAGTACGGCTCCTCGGTGAGATCAATGCCTTCTGCTTGTAGCTTGTTTTCAGTCAGCATTTCCAGATCAACCCCTCGGGTACAGGACACCTTCCTGGTCAACGCCAGGCCCAGCCTCACGCCGTGCTCCTGGAGACTTATGCTCTCCGGGAGGTCTGAGAGCCAGGGGGGTGGTCTCGTGCTTGGGGGGCTGCCAGGCTCCTGCCCTGAGGGGGCCCTAGAAGCCTGTGTTGTGTGGCAGTCAGTGGGGCTGGCAGGGCTGCTCCTTTTAATTGGCAGACACGGTGTGTCAGGGCTGGGGAGGGTCCCCCCAGGGCCTCCGGGAACAGGGTGGAGACCGTTAGCCAGGCGTTCTCTGCTCTTTTTGGCAGGAACAGGTGGAGGCTGCGAAGGATTTTTTGGCTGTGTTCTTGCCTCAGGGACCGTCTGCTCAACATCTACCCCTTCTTTGGTGCCTGGGGGATGATTTGTTCCTTCAAAATCGTGCCCTTTTCTGTGACCCTCAAGAGGTGTCCTTGTGAAACTGTGTTTAGCTCCCGGAGGTTGACTGTCATAGTTTTTGGGCAAACACTGAGGAGGTGATGTGCCCTGTGAAGAGACAGCTACTGAACCATCCAGTTTCTTAGTCGTAATTTTCTGAGGTTCAGAAAATCTCTTGCTTTGGGTCAGTAGCAATGCATTGTCTACAGCAGATTCTCGTTCTGGGGTTTGAACCTTGGAGATGGAGGTGGTTGTCTTTTGTGGCACTTCTGGTAGAATCTCAGGGGAGGGTCCTGTCACCCCCCTAGGCACATCTTTTTCAGCATCAGGCTCTCCCTGAAGGTCGTCCAGGGAATGGGATCGGGGCCAAGTTTCCACAGTCTGGGGGCCCTCCAGGGTCTCGCAGCTCTGGCAGATGGAAACGGGGAGGCTTCTTCGGTTTTTATTCAAACCAGTCGCGCATGGCTGGTCACAGCTGGTGGAGGCATAAGGGGTAAGCCCACTGCCCAGGCGGCTCTCCTCTCCCTGCTTCAGCGCATCCACTGATTTCGTTAAGGGCAGTGTTGGGTAGCTGCCCAGCTGGTTTCTGCTGAACGACTTAAAGCCAGTCTCGGTTGATGGCTTGGCAGATAGGAGACTAGTTTTCCGCATCTTGCCTGGGAGACGAGAAAATATTTTACAATCACATTTCCAAAGAGAAGCAGTCAAACTGATGTATAAAGGTGTGTTAACATAACTGAAATCTCCAACTACTACATCCCATTCTTGAATTACACTAAGGACGTAAAATTACCATGTATGACACTGGGTGATAGAGGGTTATTATGGTCCCATTTTTATTTTTAGAAAGAATTCTTAGCCTTATTAAAGGACTTGTGGAGACTGAAATTAATTGGGTGATGTTGAAAAGAAATATGCTGTGTCAAGCAGTAAAATAAGTCTGGGCTTCATGTCTGTTCCTGGCTGCAATCAGTATGGCAGAGGGTTGGTTGTCCATACCTCATCTGGAAACTACCGACATGATTTCTGTTTGGTGAGCATGGTTTCCTAAGATCATGGCTGAAAAGAGAGATGGCCTGAATTTCAGAACAGATTCTATAAGTGCTGCCCCTAGGGTTCATCAGTGATCAATGAACACTCAAATTTTACCTTCCTTGAAGCGGTTCCCTGCCAGGCTTGTGAGTCACACACTTTGAGGGCTCCACACTGCCTATCAGAATCAGGATTAGGGTGATATGAGTGAGATGCATAGGGTGCAAACTTGGAGGTGCTCACTCTCAGACTTGTGCAAGTGGATGGTTAGCACCTGAGTGAGCGCTGCCTTAAAAGATGTGCCCGAGGCAGTGACCTTACTTCATTCACCCTAGTCCTGGCTGGGTGCCCACAATGGCTCTCAAACTACTTTTCCCCTTGATCCACAGTAAGAAATCCTTTTACATTCATTCTCCAGTATACCACGAACACACGTACACACACAACCAAAACACAGATTACAAGTAACAATACTAACCCTTTCTCTATGGAATGTACTCTGATATTTTCTATTTATTCTATCTTACAAAACTGCTTTCATGACCCACTAAAATGATTTCACAACCCACTAATGAATTACAACCTGCAGTTAGAAAATGTTGCTTTTGTACGTGCTCCATACACATTGTTATGCATGGGCTAATACATGGGATTCCAATGACAGCTAAAGACCATCAAACCTGGGCATTTTTCGCTCATGGTCTTCAAGTGTTCAACAGAGATTTAGATTACTGCAGCAGTGTGAACCCTTCACTATTGTTTCTAATCTTGCTATAATGGGAGTTTTGGGGTCAGAAAAGGAAACCACAAAGCCATGGCAATCAATATTTAGCCTACCTGACCTCATTCCACTTAAGACTCTTCTTTTGTGCGATACGAGTGGGCTTTCTGAAATTTCATTTTGACTGCTCCCCGAGTCTAAGTACAGGCAGGCCACAAACCAGGAGTCCTGGGCTTCAAATCATCCTCTCCTGAGGAAATTGCCTCTGGACAGGGGATGCCTATGAAGGCATTTAAGAGACTACAGCTTGTGGGGCCCTGATGGATCGTCTACCTGGTTAAGTGTTTTCCTTATGGTTCAATAGTTCCCAACACTCAAATGTTTGTTTTCATTGAGTAAAAAAAAGGTCATAGAAGACATACAATTTAGGTTTTATAGCTGCAGGTGTTTTAAACAGAATTTATTAACCTGGCACAGCCAATAGGAGAACAGACAGCAGAATCTAACTAGACTAGAATGATGAAGCGGTCAGAAAGGAAAAGATTATCGCGGAGTTAATCATGGTAATAGAATCATCCTTTCTGAGGAAACTGTACCTTTGAAACCAGTCACTTTCAAAGCAGGGGTGTGTCCTTTTTTTAAATGAAATTTAATTCAGAGGCTCAATTTATAAAACAGATCAAAGCTGAAGTGTGGGGACGGCTCATGGTAAAGTCTAGGGTCAATCCCACCTCTGCCGTGACCACCACCCTTAAAGCCACCAAGGACCCTGTGGCCATTGAGGCATGCTGTGGCCATGGACCATAGGTAAAAACCAGGATTGTAGGCCGCATGGCCCTCTGAACTGGAAGTTATTAATCACATAAAGAAGCACTGGCTCCTTTAAACATTCTTTGGTATTGATTTCACCATTCAATACAAATATTCTCCTAGTGGGAACTAGAACAGAATCATAAAGCTTGGTTTAATGTTTGAATAAACAAAAGGGGTGGGGGGTACCATCGCCTTAACTGACTTAACTGACTTTATTATAAGCCACTTAAGGACAAAGCAGAAAAGATGAAAAGTAACCCTCAAAAGTCAAATCTACTGTGAAAAGATCTCTCTTTTAAAGTGCTGTTAGCTCGTGTGAATTGTGGACTCTTGGCAATTTCACACCTCCGTTGCATACACTTATGCTGCTTTTCACAGCGAAGTCTGTGGTTAATCCTACTGTTCCAAAATCTAAGTGTTTATTAAATATCTATATGTACTCATCTGTGGTGGCACAGTGGTTAAGTGTTTGTCTGCAAACCAAAAGGTTGGCAGTTCGAATCCACCAGCCGCTCCCTAGAAACTCTATGCGACGGCTGTATGGGTTTTTTTTTTTTAACCCGTCTATGAAGGATATACTATAAGTAGGCCACAATTCAAAACTGAGTTCATTTGCAGTGGGTATGGAACTTAATACTCTTACTAATGGCAAAAGCACATACTCTTCAATAACTTCCAATAACTGGACCATGGGTAGGCCTGGCCCAAGCACATGAAGTTGAGAGACAGTTGAATACAATTCTGAGCCCACATTCATGCATTCTGAGGGAGACGGAAGTAAGTACTATATTAGATGTAGGTAGTTGTCTTGGGTCTAACTGATTCGAATTTTTGGGACTTTTTTTAAACAAATTATTATTTTAGAATTTAATTATTTATTCAGAGACCCATCTTCCAAAAAAAAAAAAAAAAAGAAGCCATTATTGTCTGGATAACTCAGCCATTTTACGTTATGTTAATATGTTTAGAAACTGTCATATTATAATCTTTGATATGTTTGTCACTATGGAAATCTATCTTGTCATTGAAGGAGTCACTCTGCAATGTGATCCCCATACTGACCAGCACGCCTGCTTCACTGGGCAGTGTCTGAATGCCAAGGGTGGCCGCTGCCCAGGCTTGTGGTGTATTTAATAAGAAAAATGGGGGTGAGGGATAATGATACCACCAAGGGAACCAAACTTTCACTCCCTGGCTTAGCATCATGTTCTCAGTGGGGGCTCCTCCAAATCCTCATATTGAAATAAGAGCCATATAAATGACATAAATGGAATATTCTTGCATGTCAGAATAAATAAGCAAACAAGGAGGCATAGCAGCCTTCTATGCTATGCAATGCTTTTATCATTTAAAAATAGGTCCATGTATTTCAATCTAAATACAGTAGTCCCCCTTATTCATGGGGGATATGTTCCAAGACCCGCCATGGATGCCTGAAACCCTGGGTAGTACCAAACCTCATATATACTATGTTTTGTACTATACCAAGGAGCAGCTGGTGGATTCGAACTACCGACCTTTTGGTTATCAGGCAAGGTTTTAACCGTTGCGCCACTAGGGCTCCTATACGTACACACCTATGATGCAGTTTAATTTACAAATTAGCCACAGCAAGAGATTAACAACAATAACTAATAATAAGATAGAACAATTATAACAATATACTGTAATAAAAGTTATGTGAATGTGGTCCCCGGAGCAGACAGCCAGAAATTTCATCATGCTACCCATTTAAGATTTTTGGACTGTGGTGCACTGTGGGTAAATGCAACCACAGAAAACCAAACTGCAGATAAGGGGGGACTACTGTAGTCACTTTTGAAAGTAGCTATGATAACAAAGGCAAACTAAATCCCTTCTTGCTTAAAGCTCAACGAAGCCGAGATGCCACCGGCTGATGTATGTTGACACTAAGTAGTTAAGAGCATTGAGTTGAAAATGCTTACACTATTGGAAAATAAGAAGGTCTAAAATATTGTCTTCCGTCTTCCTTTTTCATTGTCCAGCTTTCACATGCATATGAAGAGACTAAAAATACCATGGCTTGGGACAGGCACACCTTAGTCCTCAAAGTGACATCTTTGCTTTTAAATACTTTAAAGAGGTCTTTTGCAGCAGATTTGCCCAATGCAATGCGTCGTTTGATTTCTTGACTGCTGCTTCCACTGGCATTGACTGTGGATCCAAGTAAAATCGCCTCATATGCGTGCGAAAACTGGACAATGAATAAGGAACACCAAAGAAGAATTGACGTGTTTGAATTACAGTGTTGGCGAAGAATATTAAATACACCATGGATTTCCAGAAGAATGAACCAATCTGTCTTGGAAGAAGTACAGCCAGAATGCTCCTTAGAAGCAAGGATGGCAAGACTTCGTCTCACTTACTCAGGACATGTTATTAGGAGGGACCAATCCCCGGAGATGGTAGAGGGTCAGCAGAAAAGAGGAAGACCCTCAATGAGATGGACTGACACATGGCTGCAACAATGGACTCAAATATAGCAATGATTGTGAGGATGGCACAGAACTGGGCAATGTTTCATCCTGTTATATGTTAGGTTGCTAATGAGTTAGAACCGACTTGAAGGCACCTAATAACAACAAGAAGAAAATACTGTCTACAGTGACTGAGAGTTTACTATGAGCCAGACTGGCGCCATGTCAGAAACATGATCCAAAATAAAAGAATAATGGCTTGGGGTTATTATTTAACCTTTTGGAACTTGAGCGTACATTTAATAAACATTAGGAATTATTAATATGTTATTACTTTGTTTCATTCTTAGAAGAATCTGTAAAAGAGAAATTCGTATTTTTTTATTTCATAGGTAAGAGGGCTTGGAGACATGGAGTAACTTGACCAAAGTCTTCAGCTTATAAGTGCCTATACAGGGTTCAAACGACAAGCTTCCTTCCTCTAAATCCCCGGCTATTTTCGTGATTCACACTGGGGGCTAAGACTATACTTTAGGACTACTGGAAAGCTTAGGGTTCCCTTCTCCGAGACACAAGTTTAGTCTTAAAATCTTTCCTTTACATGCTAAGTAGGATGGAAGGACGGCTATGGTGAGTAGATCACTGTGTATTTCATATGTCAGAAAACATCAGTTGCCTAGAAGGGATATTCTTCCTTCTTAAATATCTCAATTAAGCATCGGCATTCCTGGAAAATTTGCCCTCCCTATAACCAGTATCCCCAAAAGCCATGGCTCAAGCTAAGGTAGAAAGAGTCATCAGACAAAGCACAGTCGTCAAGAGATGAACAAAGTGGCGTGCATACGAAGACGCGCCCGGAACGATCCGTGCTGACGTTACCATTTTCCAGGTTCTCGCTGCTCTCGTAGCATCCTGAGTCTCGTGGGGAGCATCCACTCAGGCCCTGGCTGTCAACAAGCAGCTTCTCCTGGGATCCTGACTGGTCGCTGTTACCTACAGAGGGTGAATAAACGGCATGGAACCATAAGGGGACTGAAAGGCAGAGGTTCAACGTCAACCAAATCCTGATCTTAACCCGTCATCGCCATGCATTTTTAAGCCTTGAGTTTTGAAAGAGAACAAATTATTTTAAAGTATAGACAATCAAAATGAACTAGTGAGGTTGTAGCTTTTTTTTTTTTCCCCAGATAAAGTACGACATGAAGATAGATTTGGAGAGAGGGGACATAGCTGGAATATGCCAATGCCTTTTAAGTTACCCAAACGAGGATGGCTCTGGCCTCAGGGTTAATCAGAGAGAAGAGACACTCGGTGCACTCTGCTGTCACTCTGTCTTTTATGACTGATGGCGACACTGAGTAGAAGCAAACAGTTAATAGACTCCCCTTTCACAAGGTGGAAACCCTGGTGGCGTAGTGGTTAAGAGCTATGGTTGCTAACCAAAAGGTTGGCAGTTTGAATCCACCAGGTGCTCCTTGGAACTCTATGCAGCAGTTCTACTCTGTCCTATAGGGTTGCTATGAGTCGGAATTGACTCGACAGCAATGGGTTTTTTTTCACAAGATGGTATTAGGCCGTATGTCTTTCAAAGATCAAGAAGACTTATGTTTCAGTTATTTACATTACCAGCTTTTGGGAACGAATGTAAGTGTCCAATGAGGTTTCCATTTTTATCAGCATTAACAAGCAGTCTTAGCCCTTGAAGACACCTGAGCAGGAAGAAGGCCAGCAAGATGAGGCAAAACCTCCTGAACCCAAGAGGAGCCAACGGCAAATCTTTTGCTTTTGTCATGTGGAATGTTTTAGAGGGTTTTCTGTGTTTCTTGCCAGGCTACCTTCTCCCTTTCTCTTGGGTCAGCATTTCTACTCCCCGCGCAAAAAAGGTAAGACAGGGAGAGCCCCCAAAATTTGAAATCAGGAGCCCTGGTGACGCAACAGTTAAGCATTCGGCTGCTACCCAAAACGCTGGCAGTTTAAACCTACCCAGCAGCTCTGCAGAAAAAAGACCTGGCGATCTGCTTCCCTAAATATTACAGCCAAGAAAACCCTATGGGGCCGTTCTACTCTGTAACATGGGGTTGCTACGAGTCAAAGTTGACTTGATGGTACCCAACCACAAAAACAACAACGGGTAGTGCAAATGGTTAAGCACTTGGCTGCTAAGCGAAAGGTTGGAGGTTCAAGTCTACCCAGAGGCACCTCGGAAGAAAGGCCTGGTGATCCACTTTCAAAAACAGCCTTTGAAAATCCTACAGAGCACAGTTCTGCTCTGACACACATGAGATCACCATGAGATGGAACTGACTCGATGGCAACTCGTTTTTTTCTTTTAGCTTGAAAGCAGTAATGGAAACTCTGAAGGTGGATGACTAAGAGTTGTACATCCTCATTCTAAGGAACCCTTTCAAAGAGAAGTGTCAGATGCTTCTGTTGTGTGCAAGTCAGCTTGGAGTAAATCACATGGAAGGTCATGTGGGTGTTCACTATCCCACCAGTGAGCATCATTCCACATGTTCCACAAAGAGGGCACGTGTAGTCTTCCATGGGACACGGAGGTTACACACAGAAAATCTCAGCATTAGCATGCAGACTAAGTGCTTGGTCACGTAAAATGGAAACCAAGAAAACATTTTCTACATAAAATAACCAGTTGCATAATGAATGGCTTTAATTTATGCTCCTTTCTCTTCACCCCCTCCCCCTCCGACCACACCAAGAACAAAGAGATCAATAAATGAGAAATCTGATGCCTTCTCTCAGGTCTTCAAAATAAAAATGTGGGAAGGAGAGAGCTGCCGCTCCACATCTGTGCCAGATGTTGCTGTTGTCCACTTGCCATTTCCTATCTGTATTTCCCACATGGAAAGCATTTTATAACATGCCATGGCAATATAAGTCCTTAAATTAGAACCCCAAATTAAGAAGTGCTATTTTTAAAATGATTAATGAAAATTTAACTATTTGGAAGCACAACAGAAAATAGCTCCCCACCCCCAACACATACAAACAGTGGAACATTCTAGAGTGATGTCCTCATTGTGTGGAAGAGTCTGTGGATCTGAGGTAGCCTTTGTTCTAGCCTACCATGTTATTTAGGAAAATGATACTTATATAATGAGGGCTTTGAGCTATTGGTTACATGCCAGGAAGAAGAACTGATATAGTTTGTCCTGCCGGCAACCATTCAGTGCACCACTGCGGCCAAAACAGCCTCCAAAGTGCTGACCAGTGGGAATAAAACAGCAAACGTTCCCCTGCATGAAAATGCATACTGTGTTGGCAGCTTTGGAGATCCCAGCCTCACAAGAGACAGCAAGATACCTGAAGTAATTATGGGGAGGGAAGGATCTTTTGCACGTCCTGAAAACCACAGCTCAATTAATAAAATCATGAGGCATATGTCAAGGGGCTAGAGTCACTATCTTCCAAAATGAGCTAATCAGCAGCTACTAAGGAGAAACCTAACCATCAACTTCTGTAAAATTCCCTAAAACTAAAAGCCAGTGTTTTCCAAGTAAGCTGCCCTTACTTAATAGGGAGAAGAAGAGATGGGGGTGCCCCTTACATGTACTACAGAATCAAGTCCTTTTCAAGTCCTTTTCCCCACACTTACTAGCATTAATGCCAGGGTACAAAGGCCAGGAAAGAAGAAACAAGCTGGAACAGTGGAAATTCTTACAGTCAAATAAGAGAGGATGGTTTGTGGGCTACACACACACACACACACACACACACACACACACACACACACACACAGAGACGGGAAGAAGATGCTAAGACATTGATGAAATCTTCAAACATCAAAAGGGTGGTCACATCCATGCTATGACATGGATGACCCTTGAAAACATCATGCTGAGTGAAATAAGTCAGACCCAAAAAGACAAAGAGTGTATGATCCCACTTACATGAAATATCTAGAATACGCAAACGCATAGAGACCAAAGTTTATGAGTGGTTACCAGAGAAGGATGGGAGATGAAGATGGGGAGTCATTGCTTAAGGGACACTGAGTTTCTGTTACGGATAATGAAAAAATCTGGGAATGGATAGTGGTGATGGTTGCACAATACGGTGAACGTAATTGATGTCACTAAATTGTAGCTGTAAAAACGGCTGAGATAGAAAATCTTTTGTTATATATATTTCACCACAATAAAATTTTAAAAAAAGAGGGTGGTTGTATGTGAGGACACTCACTGTTTTCTGGAGAGCAATCACCTCAGGAAGAAAGAAAGAGAGGGATGGGGATCATGGACAGCAGGATTTCTAACAGTCTTACAACACTTATCTTTAAAAAGAGATAAGAGTCGAAGCAAATATGGTAGAATGTTCATTCTAGTTGGATTTAGGAAGCGGAAACGTAGGTTTTTGTTTTATTTTTCTCTGTATTCTTTCCTGCATATTTGAAATAATTCTTAATTAAAATTCTTATCTAAAAATTAGTTTTTAAAAAGGGAGCTGTCACTTGGCAGACCTCAGACAGTGTGGGGTCGGGCTCAGTGTAGGAAGAGTTATCTGATAATTAGCATCTTTTCCACACGGAATCCTGCCTGGAGGCTAGCACTGCCCATCCATGGATGTGAGAGAGGCTGGTAGATCCGACTGCCAAGCAAGGCTGGTGTGCTGTGTGCTCTTGGTGGGAGGCTGGGCTAGTGAACTTTCAGGATCTCTACATACCTTCAGAGATCTTGGCAGATCTCTGCATCTCCCTAGTGAATGGACATTTGTTTTGACAGAAACCTACTGTGTTCCTGTACGTTACTTAGAGCGAGAACTTCTTAAACACAACGAAATCAACTGCATTGAATGTAACATCTTATAACCTTAGGGTAGGTCTGGACCCAGAATCTTGGCACTATTCAGTACCCCTGAGCCCGTGAAGGCTTTGTTTTAGAAGCAATAAAAGGAAGTGCCACTTTATGTATTAGGGAAGTTCTAAGTGGTGATACAGCATAGATTCAAAATGAGATTTATGAAGAAAAAGAGAGCCCTTCTTCGTCTTCTGAGTTAGCATCATGATGGGCTACTAAATGTCCCCTACAGGGGACAATGGGTCTGAGCCAATGTGGCATGGCACAGACTGATGGGCAAAGACATTGGCCCATTAAATGTCCCCTGGTACAAAGCTCTGGTGGCACAGTGGTTAAGAGCTTGGCTGCTAATCAAAACATTGGCAGTACAAATCCACCAGCGACTCCTTGGAAACTCTATGGGGCAGTTCTACTCTGGCCTATAGGGTTGCTGTGAGTCAGAATCGACTCAAAGGCAATGGGTTTGGTTTTTTTTTTTTTTTTTGGTATAAATCTCAGGACGTGGTGGGGGAGGGACAATGGGTTTAAGCCAAGGTAGCAGGGGACAGACTAAGCACAGGCCCTGCCAATACTCAATATTTAGCTTTGCTCCTCCTTCCTTCTGAATGCTAAAGGAAATGCAGTAACAGAGTGTATAAGCCAGCTATTGTCAGCAGCTAAGGAAGAGTGAATGAGCTATTTTCTAGTCATGTGGTCCAGAAGAGATGATTTAATATTAATTGCTGGTTGGCTACAGTCGGCATGGTGCCAGGCTCTTTACACACAACCTGGCTATAGACCTCCAAGGTGTCTCTTGGGTGATTCAAATACTACAGAGACCTGGTTATAAAGTGATATTAACGATGAAACACAATTCCCTCCAACTCTCTCCCCAAAGGCACCGTGTTTATGTACGATTCAGACATCTATTTGATGGCATGTGTTTCTCTGTTATCAGTTAATTTAGAGGCAATACCTAGTAAGTAGAAGTGAATTTAACTGTACGGAGACACTTGCTTCTCTTGGGCTTGATACACTCAACGATGTATAATTTTTCTTCCACCATTAACTGTGGTTTTGGTGTGTCTTTTAGCAATAGAGATGCTATTAGATACTGATATCCCTGAAGCAGACTGCTTGAAAGAAAACGTATTTGAATTCAGTAACTGGAAAGGATACTACTCCCTTTGTGATAAGCAAGTTCAGGGACAGTCTCGATGTCAGACTGAAGAATAAAGAGCAAAGCAAGATAAGACTGGGTTAATGGAGCAAAGGATCCCCTGTATTCGAATAGACTGCATCAACGCTGCAAGCTCACTGAATTCTCTTGATGGGCTGTAAAAATGAGCTGTCATTAGGCTGGGAATCTGCAACTAGTCAATCTGGAATCCTGTGCCACGCATGTTCACTTCAGACAGACATTTTCTCCTTGTTCGATGGAAGGTGGTGAATTCCATTTACTCATTAATCAGCCTTTTCAATAAGAAAGCAACTCCTCTTGTGCTATGGGACGTAATTAACCCTTGGCCAGGCAAGACACTTCCAGTTTGTCACACTTTTGTGTCCCGGATCCTAAAGACCTGCTGAAGCCTACATATCCCAACAGTACCTGAGAGGAGTTCACCGTATTTCTTTAAAAAATGGCACTTCAGTTCTCTCAGGCACTTGATGCAGCATTTTCCTCAAATATCATCTAGAAGTATGCCAGGAGAGGCATCTGTAGTAAGGTTTTGTTTTGTTTTTTTTGGCTCCTGCATTAACAGGAAGGTCAGTGCTGGGAACTTACATGTCTTTGTGCTGTTTGACATAATTAATACAGAAACTGATCTTGGCTTTGGAAAGAGCAGGACCAAATGTATGACCATCCAGCCCTAAGCACATGCTGGAGGCTCTGGAGAGACCTGCTTTTGAACTACGAATGTGGCTCATCGACCAAGCTCTGTGCAGGACTTACTGTCATATTCCTGTAACAGCTCCACCGCTGTCAAGAGAACAGCTCTGTGCTCTGGGTCCCTGATATTTAACTCATCCAAGTCTTCCTCCTCCAGAAGCTTAAAGGTGTCCAAATCTTCATACCCATTAAAGAGGAATGTGGGCATGTGTTCCTGAGAGGGAAAGAAGGAAGAGTGACTTTGCAGGCCCAGCCCTGTGACACAGGATCAATAATGAGCCTAAACCCCTAAACTCTTTTTCCATCATTTTTATGCTAACCTAGAGATTAGTAAGTGTCATTTCTAATATAATCTGCACATCCCACTCCTACTGCTTAGTAGGCAGGTGAGGAGTTTTATTAATCATGGGTTGAGAAGAAGGACATGGCATGCTGTGATGGATTCCGCTGGCTTGCCTTATAATTTTGCCCTTGACATGAGCTGATTCCTTTAATGGAATACATCACAGCATGGGGGAGAGCCCTCCTTCATTTACAGAATGATCGAAATTCAGCTCAGAGAGCACTATGCATTCCTCAGGTCTCTACAAGGAGGAAACAGAATCTACCACCGTAGATCCACCCTACTAGATGCTGGGAGTAACGGTGGGATAGAGCAGTCGGAGGGGAAGAGTTCCCATGGCCCCCGTGGAGGCTGGCTGCTGGCTGTTCAGCTGGCAGTGAGTAAGGTGCCAGGGGCTTTTACTCATGGTCCTTCCTGGTTGCAGCTCGAAGTTCACAGCTCTTTGAAGGCTGATGTTTGAGCCACTAGCAAATTTGGGCCTGGGGCTTATGCCATCACCACAGCAGAGGTTAAGGGCAGCCTTAAAACACTGGTAACTATTTCTGCTTTTTCAAAAGCAAAGCTGTCTCTTGGATGACTAAGGTGTGCCTAATCCGAGCCATGGTCTTCTCAAATTGCCTCATATGCATGTGAAAGTTGGAGAGTGAAAAAGGAAAACAGAAGAAGAGTTGATGTGTTTGAACCGTGGTACTGGCGAAGAATACTGAGTGATTGTGGACAGTCAGAAGAGTGAACAAATCAGTCTATGAGAGATAGAACCAGAATGCTTCTTAGAAGCGAGGATGGTGAGACTTAGATTCACTTACTTTGGCCACGTCATCAGGAAAGAGCCAGTGCTAGAAAAGGACATCATGTCTGGTAAAATGTAGGGCCAACAAAAACAAGGGAAGCTTTCAGTGAGATGGAATGACATGATAGCAGCAACAATCACGAAGGTGGGGCAGGACCAGGCAATGTTTTGTTCTGCTATCCCTAGGGCTGCCAGGAATCAGAGCTGACTCAATGGCAACAAACAACAACAACAACAATTTCTGCAAAACAGTGGATATTTATCACATTAATGGACTACGCTTGTTGAATGACATAGACCAACCCCCACCCTAAAACTACTCTTACTTGCTTGCTTCAAGAGGACAAAGTATGTAAATAATGGATGACAATCATAAGAAGTAACTGACTTTCAGATTAATCCGATCAAGCAGATCTTCCACAGACTTGGGCTGGGGTGGTCTTCCTTTTCTCCTCCTCCTGGTGGGGCGCTTGGGCTTCTCCTCTTCTTCATTTAACACGTCCACGTAGATGAACTTGAATGTGCCGACTTTGTTGTTCAACAGGCCCATCCAAGTACCCATCGGTGGTTTGCTGATTATATCAATGATATCTCCTTTCTGTGGCCCAAGGAACAAAAATCTTTCCATTAGGTATATGTCTAAGCATAAAGTAATCAGATGTACTAACTACTCAGATGTAGAATCACCCTGAAGACCAGAACCAGATGTAAGTCACCTTTCTAAGCTATTAACATAAAATACGACTTGGGAGTTTCAATAAGGGCCAAAATGGAGCATGTTTAATGATGCTGGACTCCATGCAGGCCCTAGGTCTTGTCCCTCCACCCTCTTGTACCACAGGATGAGGTGGGCCTGAGATGTGCTTAGACTGAGGTGTGCCTAGATTAGTAACCTGGCCCTCTGAATGCCTTCCTATCACAGAGTTCCTACTTCCTAGAGGAAAACTTTTCCACCAATTAAATGCCAGTGGCAATCCACCCTATAACTGCTTCCTGTATTTTGTGAAGTTATCCCATATGAATACCACTGACAGCATAGAGAAGGCAGGAACATTTCATTAGATGAAGAAAACACAGCAACGGGGATGGGAGTTGGGGGTGGAGGGCAACAGGAATTCTAGAGGGAAGCTCAGGTCAGAGGATGAGGGGGGATGAGGTGGTGGCAGAGGGATTAATGCAAGACCCATCTCGGCCCCAAATGCTGGCTGGTCTCTGGTTTATTTTTTGCCATAGAGGAGACCAGTTCATCAAGGTGGCCAAGACACTGCCCAGTATGTACCATAATAGCCCAGAACACAACCGGAAGGAAAAAAGAAAACCTCGTGGAGAAACAAAGAGCCCAGGTGTAGCTAACTGCTCTGAAGCCAGGGAGAGACATACTGCTATGGATTAAATTGTGTCTCCCCTAAAATATGTGTTGGAATCCTAATTCCTATACCTGTGGATGCAATCCCATTTGGGAATAGGGGTTTCTTTGTTATGTTAATGAGGCTATATCAGCGTAGGGTGTGCCCTAAACTTAATCATTTCTGGGTTATAATAAGAGCAAATTGGACACAGGAGCAAACAAAAATGGGGGAGGGGGAGCATGGAATCAATGCTATCTGTTGGCCACGGAGCAGATGAATCTACAAGCTCAGCAGCTCCAAGGACAGCTGGTTACTAGAAGCACAGTGGTTAAGCACTCGGCTGCTAACCGAAAGGTCAGTGGTTGGAATCCACCAGCTTCTCTGCAGAAGAAGATCTGGCGATCTTCTCTTGTAAAGATTTACAGGCTTGGAAACCCTATGGGGCATTCTACTCTGTCCTATAGAGTTGCTATGAGTCTGAATTGACTCCTGGGCACACAACAACAACAGAAGCTGAAATAGACAAGGACCTCTCCCTACAGCCACACCCTGACTTGGACTTCAGCTGTGAGAAAACAAATCTTTGTTCTTTAAAGCCACTCACTTGTGGTATTTCTGTCAAAGGAGCCCGAGGAGACTAAGATGCATACCTTGAGCTTCAGCGAGTCTGTGTCATAGGGGCTGGGCGTGAAGTCAGTGTGCACCCTGGCGCGCCCACAGAAGGGGCCCCGGTAGGGGGGCTCCTCATCATCACCATCTTCTGACTTCACACTTTCCCTGTTGCTGGTGGAAGAATCGGTAGTACTTACAGTTTGGCCACCTGTAGAGGAAAACAGAGGAAGAATACAGGTTAAGCACAGACTTCCCATAGGGCAAAACTGAAAGGTACTGAAGGTAACACAGATCAGGAAACCAAAGTCCAGAGAAGGGATGTCAGACCACAGCCACTAAGTGTCAGGATGGGAGCAGGGCCTAATTCTGAGGCCAGGGCTGGACTTGAGGGCTCTAGTTGTTATGCCTAATCAAATCCCCAACAGGAGAGGGAACTCACAACATGTTATCATTATGGCATGGGACTCCATATGACATGGAGACTCCCTAATAAACACCATGATACTAAGCACTCGACTCAGCCCTTAACACCCATGACCCTGCCCCCTTAACACCCATGACCTCTAATTTGCAAGGCATACTAACATTACTCTATTTTTTTCAGATGAGGAAACAAACCCAGAGAGGTCAAGTCACTCACCCAAGGCCAAGAGCTTAAAGTGGTAAATTTAAACCTTGTTCTCCTCCTCCATACCAGTGGGCCTATACCACCACTGTACCACCACTGGTCCTGGAGTGGCTGAACAGTATTTGTTACTGGTGACATATATAACTCCCCTCCCTTCTCCCTGGAGTCCCTGGGTGGTACAGTTAACAGAGTTGGCTGCTAACCAAAAGGTTGGAGGTTTGAGTCCACCCAGAGGCACCTTGGACAAAGTCTGGTGACCTACCTCCGAAAAATCAGCCACTGAAAACCCTGTGAAGCACAGTTCTACTGAGACACACATAGGGTTGCCATGAGTCAGAATGACCTCGACGGCAAACGGGTTCTTTTTTATTTCTCTCCTCCCCCTACTAAGCCTCACCCTTACTTTGTTGGCTGATTTCATATGCCCTGGCTCTTGGTTTATTCTCCAGATCCTTCTTCTCAGATGCTTTTCCTATCTTCCTCAATCAAAAGAAATCACTCCCCTTCGCCACCGCTGTACTTGCACTGCTAAACAAGCACGACTCGAAATCCAGACGTGAGCAGCCCTGTGTCACTAACAACTCCCGAAGGGCAGGGACTGGTCTTCTTTAACTCTGAATCGCCTGAACCTGGCATTCAAATAAAGTCAGAGTTTGACTCCCCAGGGAATCATTCACAGTTAGAAACAGGACTTACTCATCGAGCTCTGCCCACTTAGTGAGCTCCGCAGACTCTCTACGGAGCCTCCAGCTTTGAGCTTGGGTTTGTCCAGGTGCTCAGAGTCGGGTTGCGAGGACGGCGGGGAGCCAGGCATCCCACCAAGGCCAGAGTCCTGAAAGGGGTTTCAACAAAACGAAGTTTCATCAGGGTGGACACTTGTCATTTTGTAATTCCCAGAAATTTGTTGCTGTTATTATAAATTGCCGTCGAGTCGGCTCCAATTCATAGCGACCTTATGTATAACAGAAAAGGGTGCCCGGTCCTTGGCGTGCCTTTTTCATGATGGCTGGTGGGTTTGAGCCCATTGTTGTGGCTATTTCCCAGCAGTTTAGTCCTTGACTAAATCAATCATATCGACTATCATATCCATATTTGGTTTTATGCCCAGTATTCTCTGCCTTTTTAGTCTATATCCTTACTTAATTTTAAAGTTGTGACCCAAGTAACTACTGTATTACACAAGCAAAGATTATTTTTCATACTCAAACAGATGCATGGAAAACTCCAACCAAGAAAAATATATCTACGTCTTTGACAAAATGTTTATTTAAAGGCTTTGGGACTTAGCATATTCGACAGTCTAGTATCAAGGCTGGACATCAAATGTAGTCACATATAATTCTCTGTTAATGTAGTATCTGTAAGTACTATCAGAGAATAATTAAACTACTTTGGAGGGAGACATTTATACTAATAAAAAAAACTCCTTGTTTAAAAAAAAATTGGCCAGATTCTTATAGTTCTATTTAACAAATTGTTAAAATTGGTTAAAGAAATATCAATTTAGGACCTAGATTCTTCAGTCTATAATAAAATTCCATATGTCATGATATGGATTGCGCTTCTTTTACTTATTTTGTGGGTCATGAGTAAAAAGCTGTAAAGGCAGAAAGAGATCAGAATGCTGACGGCAGTAACTCAGCAACACTCTGCCCTTTTCGGGCAGCTATGTATTCTCAGTTCAGCAGCTCCTGGTCTGCACACATAAGCACAGCATATTTATTTGATTCGTGATGTTATACAGACAGGCAATATGACACTTCAAAAAGTTTGCAGTGAGAATTGTTTACTTGCTAAACTAGAAAACTCTCTGTCATGTTACATAGCCATGTGAGCACAAAGCCGTCTAAACGAAACCTGTTATTTGCATGGTGCCGAATCATCACAAGGACTTTCACGTGATCCCGCAGGCCCTGCAAACATTTAAGGACAACAGCAGGGCAGCTTCTTATCCAACACACACGTAAAGAAAGCAAGCAAACCACCTCAAAAACAGCTACAGTCGTCCCCCCCCCATCCGTGGTTTCGCTTTCCGTGGTTTCAGTTACCCATGGTCAACCGTGGTCCGAAAATGTTAAATGAGTAGCGTGATGAAATCTAGAGCTGTCTGCTCCATCCTACCCGAAGACCACATTCACAGAACTTCTATTACAGTATATTGTAATAACTGTTCTACATGATTATCATAGGTATGTATGTATAGGACAAAACATAGTATATGGAGGGTTTGGTACTATCCATGGTTTCAGGCATCCATGGGAGTGGGGATCTTGGAACATATCCTTCATGGATAAGGGGGGACTACAGGAGATTACTGTACTATAAACAGACTTATCATTAATGGGAAGTAACTGAAATCGCAAAGCATGATCTCCTGGATATATTTTCATTCTGCCTCTCAGAATCATAAAATAAGGGACGTTTCCAATTAAAATCTTTTTTTTAATGCTTCTGAAAAAAGCACACATTTTGAAAGAAGTATTAAATACACATCTCTGATATAATACGTCCTCAAACGCTTTTAATAATTTCATTTATTCATCACATACTTATCAATTACTGATAAGAACAGGTAATATTCCAGGTGCTGGGGGTATTGCAATCTACAGAGAAGACAAAAATTCCTACCATCATGGTTGTACTAAAAAGGAAAAAACAAAACCTCACAATATGAATTTTCTCCCTCCGAAAAGCACTATAAGGATAAATTATTCCTATTTTTTAATGTATGTGAAATGATTACTTAAAAAAGTAACAAAAAAGATAACTAAGAATAGAAGACTGCTATATGGTAGTAAAATTATAGAAAAACACTCAAAATGACATTAAAATTCTATGATCATGATTTATCAAGCAGTAAACCCCTAGGAACTTAGGTTTATAAGGGCTTTCAGTGGCTGTTTTAATTCTGGGGAAAAGCAAAGTAAATGAAGTGCTTTAAAGAGTGGTGTTCTTTCATCAGCATGATGTCCGCTTCATAGGGGCATGTACAGTTTGCTTCACTGCTGGGCAGAAATACAGACTCATCATCACTCCCACACCAATCGAGACAAACCAACAAGAAGAACAAGGAAAAAAACTCTTGGAGAAGATAGAAGGCTTCACTGACTTGCCCTGCAGATCTAGTAAACCAGGCTTTCTCAACCTCGGCACTACTGACATTCTGGGTTGGATAACTCGTTGTTGTGGGTGATGTCCAGGGCATTACAGAATGGTTAGGCGCATCCCTGGCCTCTACCCACTAGAGGCCAGTAGCTTGCCCCTTCTCCCACCAGTCATGACTATGTCTCCAGACATTGCCTTGGGGTTAGGAGGGAGCAAAATCACCCCTGTTGAGAATCCCTGTAATAAACTGAAGATGTTGAGTCTGGCTGGCTTTGTTTGAATCACAGCGAGGGTGCTGGTTAGTTGGTTTTCAGTGATTCCGACAGGGGACATCTTGGGTACTTAGCTTATATGACCAGCAGAGGGCAGCAGCAGAGCAGACATCTGCTTTCCCTGCTGTTTTTATTTGGTAGATGAGCGGCATTACCTACATGTTTGAGGTAGACAACCAGCTCATATACAGGTACTTCAACAGACCCCAGAAAGAGTATTAACAGGGCACCAGAGGAGAGTGGTTTGAGAATCTTATGGTCAAAATTGCCTCAATGCCCAGCTCTCCAAGTGTCTATTCCTTCCGCCACACGGAAACCAGTTGTGTTTCTAGCAACGAAATTATAGAACCAGGGGAAAAAAAGCAATTCCGTGATACCTTACAGATACGGCCAGTTACTGAAATATTCTTGTGGAAAGATAATTACTACTGAAGTTCTGTAAGCAGGAAGCACTTTCTAAATTTACCTTTTAGTTTACTTCTCAGACTTGCTATGTGCTTCTGGAACAACTGATTTATGCTACATTGGAAAAGTCTGCTGTCTGAGAAAACTGGAGTGCCTTTTTTAGGTTTGACTCTGGTGAGACCCATTTGTAGCAAGTGATATTTTAGAGAATAAAATCCTTCTTTTGTGTTCGAATTACAGCACTCATTGCACCAAGAAAATAAGAATTTCTTTACACGTCTGTCTCACCTCTCCTCTGCACACAGAAGGCAGGGCCTGCGTTTTGTATTCCTAGCACCAAGCACAATGCTTGGATGACTGTAAACGTGTAATAAATGTTTGCTGAATTGAATGTGTGTCTACAAAAACAAAGCATGGCTCTGGAGATGGGTATGCCAAGGAATGTTATCTAAAAAAACCAAACCCGCTGTCGCTGAGTCGATTCCAACTCATAGCGACCCTACAGGACAGAGTAGAACTGCCCCATAGGGTTTCCAAGAAGCAGCTGGTGGATATGAACTGCTGATCGTTTGGTTAGCAGCCGAACGCTTAGCCACTGTGCCACTGGGGCTCTAGCACCATATAAAATCTCGGACTGGTGACCCCTGGTTTTCCTTGTTGTCAGGAAGAACTGAGGGGGCTTTTTGCTAGGTAGCTGCATACCTGCTCAGCGACAGAGCTGCTGTACTTTTTAGACATTCTCTTCCTCATTGTCTCTTTCACTGATTTCACCTTTTTTCCAAGAGAGATGCGGGAGGCAGTGGGTGATTTGATTACTTCTTTGTACACAAAATCTCCTTCTTTACTCTGTAAAACAAAACGTTATTAAGTACCTTTAATCATAGTAAACAGTTCACGACAGCAACTAACAATAATCAAAAAGTTGGATGTTCGAGTCCACCTAGAGGCACCTTGGAAGAAAGGCCTGGAGAACTGCTTCTGAAAAATCAGCCATTGGAAACCCTATGGAGCACAGTTCTACATTGACACACACATGGGACTGCCATGATTTGGAGTCAATTCAACGGCAACTGGTAATTACAGAAAATGAAGTCCAGAAGCAAGTTTTACTATTTAAAACTACCTCTCAAAACAACATTGGCATCTGCTAGGTTCTTTAGTTTTTTTTTTTATGGTAACTCAGTGCTATGTAATTTATCTGTTGGATAAAAAGTTAAACCTACTGAGCCCTATAGAGCTTTTTGTTTTCTGTTTGTTTAAAGTGGGGATGTGAATAATTTTTTATTTTATTCAATCTTAGTATATTTTTCTCCAATTACATTTTTCCACCGTCTTAAAAACCCAAGTCAGCACAACTTGACCAAGGTAAATGAAGACACTGAGAGGTATGCAAGACTAAAGGACAACTACGGAAAATGCCATAACATATAGCCATAACATATATAATTTTGTAACAATAGTAATAACAAGCGAAATATGTGAGTAGTTATACAGGTAGATATGTATGCTATATGGGTGTGGGAAGGTGTATGGGAGTACATGCAAGTGCATATCAGTGTATGTGTGGGCATATGTATGTACATGTTTGTATGAGCTGCATATATAGTCATATATACAATAAAGCACATAGGGGACACAGTTAGGATCCTTCATAGACATATCCAAACACCTTGCTGGATTAATTTACTGGGTTTGAAGGCTCAGGACCAGAGTCTTGTGGGACACTAGGTCAACTGGCATAACTTAGTTCATAAAGATAACGTTCTACATCCTAGTTTGGTGAGTAGTGTCTGGGGTCTTATCTATATTACAACTACTGTCTTTTACTGTCTGGAACAAAAGAGAATGAAGGAAACCAAAGACTCAAGGAAGAAATTAGTCCACAGGACTAATGGCCCATGCAAACGACAGCCTCTTCTAGAGTGAGACCAGAAGAACTAGATGGTGCCCAGCTACCACCACCGACCACGCCAACCAAGGAACACAATAGAAGGTCCCAGGTAGAATGGGAGAAAAAAAAGTAGAACAAAAGTCAAATTCATAAAAAAGACCAGACTTATTGGACTGATAGATACTACAGTAACCCCTGAGACTACTGTCTTAAGATACGCTTTTAACTTGGAACTGAAGCTACTCCCAAAGGTCACCCTTTCGCCAGATAACAGATTGGCCTAAAAAATGAACAATAACACCTGTGAAGAATGTGCTTCTTTAAATAATCAACTATACGAGGCCAAACGGTCAACATCTACCCAAAAGCAAAGATAAGGAGGCAAGGTCTAGGGGCAGGGAAACTGGATGGATGGAAATGGGATAGGTAGAGTGGAAATGGTAAGAGTGGTGACCCATTGTGTGGATTGTAACCAACTTCACAGAATAATTTGTGTATGAATTATTGAATGGGAATCTAATTTGCTGTGTAAACTTTCACCTAAAACACAATATTAAAAAAAAAAAAAAAGTACCCGAGGGGACTGTATTTCATCAGTAAACAGTGATCTACATGGACCAGTGTCCATGGAATTTCAGCAGTGGGGGAAGAGAGGAGGGTAATACTACCAAATCATTCTAGATAGGCACAAAGAGCAAAACGGTAAAAGCCCAGTTGTCAAAGTCCACCATTTGAATTTATATCACTGTAAGCTCTGGTGGTGCAATGGTTAAGCGCTCAGCTGCTAATCAAAAGGTTGGCAGTTCAAACTGACCCAGCAGCAACTCAGGAGAAAAAACCTGGCGATCTGCTCCTATTAAGATTACAGCCTAGAAAATCCTGCAGAGGCAGTTCTACTCTGTCTCATGGAGTCACTATGAGTCGGAATTGACTTGACAGTACCCAACACCACCACCACTTAGTGTGATCAACTCCTAAGAAAGTGTTTCAATTTCTTCTTCTGAACAAGCTAGACTGTAGTCTCTTCTCACTCTACCTTGCATTAAAAACAAAACAAAAACAACTTTCCCTTGAGAAAGGGGAAAAAATCATACTTTCATTTTTTAAATATTCACTGCATAAAATCATTGGTTTATGAATCAATAAAATTTTATATCCAAATAAAATAGTTTCACTCTTCCAGGAAATTCTCAAATACTTCATATATCACACACAAGTATTTTAGCTGACACATGATGATAACAAATATAAAGCATGAACTCTAAATTTCCCAGTTTCAAGACAAAACGCATAAGGAAAAACAAAACTACATGTCAAACTTGCCTAAATCCTTGGAATCTAGGAAAGGACACTTTATGGAGAGAACTTGTGGACTACAGTAGTGGTCTGTCCCTGAGCTGTGATCCAGAAGCATCCAGGGAGCAGTAACCTTGTGGGTCTGAAGGGCCTAGCCTGTTTTGGCCCCAAAGAGATTGGGTGATTCCATGACACACCCGATCAGAAAGACCCAGGCTTAGTATAAGCCTTGATTGCTTATACTCAGCCCATGATCAGACTGGCTTTTAGAAATGGCAGCACATATTGTTGGTATCCAAATCCCAGGGCTCCATCCCAGTGCGTTATCTGTGTGTAGTAGTGAAACACACTTGCACTAGCACAAACAAAAAACACGTGCATAACTGATTAAGTTCATAGGAGTCAAACTCAGCTGCATTTGTTACTTGAGGAACACTGGTAACAAATGCATTAAATGAACTGGGCTACCAAAGGGAGAGAGATGGAGGCCAGAGACGGTCATCAGCCATTCACCTACTCATGGGATAGGTGAAATAGAGCTTCTTTCCATATTCAATTTAGGATCACTGAGGAAAAGCGTGTTGTTGTTGTTGGGTGGTGTTGAGTCAATTTCAACTCATTGCGACCTCATGTGACAGAGTAGAACTGCCCCACAGAGTCTTCTTGGCTGTAATCTTTACAGAAGCAGATTGTCAGCTCCTTCTCCTGCAGAGCTGCTGGGTGGGTTTGAACCATTAACCTTTTGGTTAGCAGCTGAGTGCTTAACCACTGCAGCACCAGGGCTCCTTATCCAGTATCAATTTTCAAAGATATAAATGTGAAATTTTTGTCAACCACATTGCTTGAATCCAGTATCATCTTCTCGCATATACTTGAACTGCTTGCCTTCTTCTGACATATACTCACCATTGGGTCAGAATTATTACTGCCAATGTGCAGTGAGCGGTTTGTCAGGTCAAATCCTCCAAAACTGCAGGTTCTCTGTGGAAAGGAGAGGGGCGGGTGGAAAAATCCAGTTACACGAAGTCAGCCAGCAGTGCATCAACCCCACATACTTCCTATTTGTCAGATACCACTGAATCACAAATGTGTGTACAAGATGAATGTAGGAAACAAGAAATGATGAGAGAGAAAAAAAAAATACATGGTCATGTTATAGAGACACTTCACTCAGTTTGCCCTTTGAACTGGAACTTTGCCTACACTTTAGGTCCAGAATCTCCTTAACATGCAAAAAACCAACTGGTTATAAAAAACAAAGAACAGGAAAAACTCTCCACGTATTTAGCACAGGAAGATTCCCAGTCTCTTAGCAAAAAAACACTCCCCTTCAACTTTCCTTAATACCAGCTATATACAGTCATGATGATGAGGGAATATTTCTTAGGGTACGCATGTGCTCGGTGGTCTTAGAAACCCAGTCTGAAATCCCACAGCGCTAAGAGTCACGGGTTTTCATCTCTGAGGCTACTGACAGCAGGCTTTTCTAACAAACTTGTGTTTTGTTTAGTTTTAAGTCACTGAGAAAGGAAAAAGAGGTTATGTTTATAGCAGTCCAATCAGGCCAAGAGGATTACTCACTCATTGCTTCCCTGTCTTAGCCAACTATGCAGATAACTTTCCCATCCAGCTGCCCAACCTAATTATGACCCTTTTTCTCATAGCGTATAAAATGAAGACACCACATTTCCCCATAAAGAAAAAAGTTCATTCAGTGACTCTCTTTGACCACACTCTTTAATGTCAATAGGAAAAACAGTGACACTTTATTAAGATTGGGAACTTTATTGCTCTCTTAGCTGGTTTCAAACTTTATGAAACTGCTTACATTTCAGTGAGTTTGTATTTCCAGAATTTAGTTTGAATTTGCTGCTGTTTCATTAGTAAAAGCTATTCAATGACTAAAACAAATAAAAACCTTTAAGAAGAAAGAGAAACCCAAAGCACGCTACTTCTTAGTACAACTGTTTATCTTTTTAAGCAATTGGTAATAAAAGTTGAATAGCAGATTTGGGCCCAATATTTTGTATTACACGTTCCTCAAAGAACTGTAGTTAGCAGCCATTAAATGGAAGAAATGAACATAAAAGTCCACTGGATACTAAAATTAAGTGTTGCTCATTCAAAACAAATCTACTTTAGATGTATCTAAATTAATGATCTGAATTGAGAGAGCAGAAACATTCTGGAAGGGAAATGCCTAAGGCTTTGGAATCACACAATGTGGATCCAAGTCCGGATTCTGTCACTTACTTGCTATGTGACTATAGGCAAAGTACTTAAGCTCTCTGAGCTTTAGTTTCTTCATCAGTAAAACAAGACCTATCTCATGTATTTGAAGACTTCTTGCATACTTCTGACAGCCAAGCATACTCTATGAACGCTGGTTTCTTCCATTGCTCTCCATCAGGGCTACACTAAGAATTCAGTAGCTTATCCTGTTAACTGCTGTCATGAAGTTTACACTCAGTCAACATTAGAAATATGAAAATGAAGGGCTGAAACTTCTGCGCTTTACATTCTAGGAGCTTTGCTTGTAAATCCAGTGCATTCAGGAATGGGCCAAGAAGAAGAGATGGAGGAAGCCAAATGTGGAAGATGCCAAATGGCTTCTGGGGATAACCAAGACTCAGGTTGTCAGAGAACGGTTTTTCTTCTTATTAAAGTTGTTGCTGTTTTAAATAATCTACTACAGACATATTTTCCAGTGAAACATTACTCTAATTTTATAATAAATGTCAATGGATGGTTTGATTTTCTTTATAGTCAACTTAGCTGGATCTGTATCTATTCTATAATGAGATCATGGTGGTTCAGTGGTGGAATTCTCGCCTCCCAGGCAGGAGACCCAGATTCATTCCCTGCCAACGTACCTCATGTGTAGCCACCGCTGGTGGAGGTTTATGTGTTGTGATAATGCTGGTTTCAGCAGAGCTTGCAAACAAAGATGGGCTAGAAAGAAAGGCCTGGTGACATACTTTCAAAAATCAGCCAATGAATACCCTGTGGATCACAACGGTCTGATCCACAACCGATCATGGGGATGGAGTAGGACCAGGCAGCATTTTGTTGCATTGGGCATGGGGTCGCTATAAGTCAGGGGCTGACTCAAAGGCAGCTAACAACAACAACATCTCTTCTATAAAAAGAGAACGACTTCTATATGTAAAAGTACTCACCAAGTCACCTAACTTGGCAAGCAACGTTATGACTGCCTCTAAAGGCTAACTGTAACATTAGCTTTCCCTCTCCAGCTTATAAATTTTCTCCTTTTTTTGCAGAGGCAGTGACTTGATTCTAGTTCCTCTGCTGTGACACAGGACTTCCCAGGCACAGTATGGTGCCCAGATGCCTCATCACTTTTTGGCTTTGCACCTCCCTGCTTTCCACTGCAGCATTCCCTGAAACTTTCTAACGCGTATGAAATAACTGACAGGAATTTATGTGGAAACTATGACCGCACTGAACTAAAAGCTCATTTCAGTCTTCAAACGCCTGCTCTGTGAAATAAAGAGCTGAAAGCAAAGAATGGACCAGTTTTCTAAATACCAGCTAAGACTTCACCAGTGATATGCTAAGATATCTGGATCGGATTTGTCTTTATCAATAGAGGAATGCCAATGAATTCCTTGGACTAATCCCCTATTTTTTCTGTAATATCACGTAGTTCTCAAAGCAGCACTCCTTCAACAGAGAAAATAGGCTATACAGAGAACATCAAAAGAAAAATAAACCAGCCTTTGACTCTGGTGATATAAATAAATGACGTCTAACTCAGGTTTTTTCATTCACACAGCTCCTGTACAAAGAACTCTGAAAACATTTGAGAGAGATGCTTGTGGATGAGGAGAGCTAGTCAATGGGATGGGCATGCAGTTGAAAACATGTTTTGGGAGAGCTGGATTTTAAAAAAATGGACAAAATTCCAAAAACGTCATGCATGTCTGTTTTCTCAAACAAAAATCGAATGACCAAAGAAAAAAGCAAGACAAGTGACCACTTCTGGTGAATACAAAGCATTATCATTTCTCTGAGGCTTCATCAAGCAAATATGGCATTTTCAAGAGGCAAAAAGATCACAGTTGAAGATTAAAGGAAACGGTACACTTTCAGACAAAATGAAAGAGATAATGCCAAGAAGAATGGAAAAGAACTTCTAAATTAAACCAAGCAAAGAAAGTGATCTTAGTTCCTTAATTTTTTGAAAGAAGCTCTCATTTGTATTATTAAAACACTTACTTTCTGTTACTTTCTCTGGATAGTTGGAAAAATTAAAATGCTGTTTTACTGATTGTCCAACTATACTTCCAGGAAAAGGGATGTGGAAATTTCTAATTTAGCATTGAACACATATTTCAGCAAGTATTAAAACTGCCCAGTACTGCATTAAGCCCAGAGTACCTTAAAAGTATCTAGCCTCAGGTTGATAATTGGGATAGAGATTTTTGTAGAGCCACCTTCATGGGGTGGGGGTGGAGGGACAAGTCGGTGCTTGAAAATAAACAAGCGTGTGTGAATGTCCATCCTCCGTGTCACTGGCCCACAATGTTAATTAGTACAAAATTAGAAAAGTAACTTCTAGAGAGAAGTTCCTGATGAAGTTATAGTATTAATCTGGCAATAAGTAACATGAGGGATATATGAGCAACTCAAGGTACTAAATTTGGAAAAATTCTCAGTGTTATGTGATCTGAACTCACATGGGGTGAGTTATCCAATTAACAGAAGAAGTGGGTCTGTTCTATCAGGGCCAAGTCAAAAGGTACAGAAGCAGACGAACCGGGGAGACCATGTTTGAAGAAAAAAAACAAAGTATACAAAAAAGCAAAAACAAAACTATACTGAGACTGGTTCGCCACAAGTATTTTACAGAAGATCCGTGAGTCAGAGCAGACAAGAGGCTGAATGAGTAGGAAAGAGAATTACGTTACTGTAAAACAAAAACTACTACCATGCGAGAGAAAGAACCAGAAGGAAGGGTTTGCTAATACTAATAGTATTACAAGTGTTGCAAGATTTATATGAATGTGAAAAGACAGAAAATAAGATCTAGGAAGAAAGCTAACGCCTGTGGGAATATTTGGAAAAACCAAGGGCTAGGAAGGATCTACAATCTTTCCAGAACAGAGAAGGTTATCTGAAGGATGGCATCGATCAATCAGTCTCCATTTTCACCAGAGCAGAACTTCAGCAAATTTAAACCACTGAAGTAATGATTATTTAAATAACCGTCTGGGGAAGCACATCTTATTCATGAACGTGAAGGGAATCTGTGAAAGTCATCACTGGAGGCTGAACCCACTCTACGCCTCCAGCCTTTTAAAGCAGGGCCCAGCCAGCAGTCCCGAGTGGATTAAGCAGGGGGACGGGGGAAGCAGAGCCAGGAACCCCACAGCTCCTCCTTGCTCTGTGCCATTTCATATGGACTATTGTGCAGGCTAAAAGTGGGGTGGAGTTTCAGGCAGATAATACGTATATTCTCAAGTTCAAAACTAGTTATGTCCTGAAAATAAATTTTACTGGGCTTCTAATCATTCAATAAAAAGCCTGAAAACGATTTTACTATTTGAAAGTAAGTACTTCATTCTTTCTTGCTATGTACAGAAGAATCTATGGGGCAGAGGGGGACATTTCCAAATGTTGATTCCTTTGTTTAAGAAGAAAGGCACATGGGATAGACTTAAGTAAAACGAAAGAGCTCTATTTTACTTTTCCCCCTTTTAGACTGAAGACCTGTCCCCCTTCTCCCCACTAATAAAAGAAACGCACTTAACAATGTCTTCAAATCACAGAATCAGTGATTGTGATGACAGCAAACCTTCCATGAGCTGGTTCCCATTGTTTTCACTAACTGGAAGAATAGGCACCTCTTGTAAGGGCAAACTGTTTTTCTGTTTTGAATCAGCTTCTATGAGGTCAAGTGATGGTATGGCTGGGAATCAAGACAGCCACTCCTAAAGGAAGCCAAACCCCACCCCTAACCTGGAAACCCTTCTCTGGACTGGCATGAATGTTTAGTTTTAATTAAAAATCTAACAACTTCAACGGGCAAGAAGACAGACGGGAAAAAAAAAAAGGAGGACATTGCTAAATTAAAGTAGGATTACAAATTTGAGGTGATGGTGGAATGGACCCTTATGTCTTGGGTTAAAGAGAAGGAGTAGGAAGCTGGGCTCAGCAGAAGAAAGGCCATAATGCTTGACTGCACATCACAGAAATGACAAGGCTGTCCTCATGACCATCGTTGTGACTCACAGACTTCTGGTGGATTCTCAAGAGAACCCTTTTAGTACAGCGGTCGACTGTGGCAGCCCACTTCCTCTTTGCCTCCTCCTCCTCCTCCAGCAAGCACCGCCTCAGATCCTGCTTTTCAGCCTTGCTCAGGGTCCTGTCTGAGGCGGGACGCACTAGCTGGGTCACGTTCAGGTGGCTGTAAAGACTCCGCTCCACCACGTAGGTGATATTGAACTCGCTGACTGAGGTGCGCCCACGCACCCTCCTGCTGGGGAAGCCGCAGCTGCTCCCCCCTTTGGATTTCTGCCGGAGCAGCTGCAGGTCACAGGTTGTGCTGTTAACTCCTTTTCTGGAGGGACGCTGGCAGAGAAAAGCTCTGGAACATGAATAATTAGTATCCATTTTCTTCAAGCGGATTTGCTTCCGGACACTTTGAACCTCCTCTAGGGACACGAGCAGGTGGTGCCTGCGTCTGTGGTTGTCATAGACGCAAACACCATCCGTACTTACCCCGTGGCTCAAGGACCCCAGACCCTTCTTCATCTCCCCCTCCGTGAGGGAGCGGGAAACTTTCTGGGCCTTTTCTTCTTCTGGATAGGAGAAGAATGTTCCCATCTTCTTAGGGGGCTTAATCAGGCCTCGACTATCTCCTTTGCTGAAGGTTTTGACCAGCTTCCGGCCAGCTCCCCAGGTATCCAGGCTGCTGGATGAGGGAGAGGTGGTGAGGGAGTCAGGATTATCTTCGGGAGGTTTTTCAGGAGAGCCATCAAAGAAAAATGGCTTCTTGTGGACTCCTGAGTACAGGGCGGATCTTTCATCCAGGACTGGGGAATTCTCAAAGGCATGTTCCTCTCCACCTGCAGGAGAATCAAAACAAAAATGTTCATACCTTATACAACTATTGGTCTCTATGTGTCTGTAGCAAAAGAGAAAAGAAGGAAACCAAAGACTCAAAGAAGAAACTAGTTTACTGGACTAACAGTCTACACAAATCACAGCCTCACCTATGTTGAGACCAGAAGAACTAGATGGTGCCCAGCTACCACTACTGACTGTTCTGACCAAGGACACAGTAGATGGTCCTGGATAGACTCAGAAAAAAATGCAGAACAAAACTCAAATTCCTAAAAAAGGCCAGACTTACTGTACTGGTAGAGACCAGAGGAACCCCTGAGACTATCGCCCTGGGATACCCTTTAAACTTGGAACTCAAACCACTCCTGCAGGTTACTGATCAGCCAAAAGAGTGGCTCTTAAAATAAATACCATCCATGAGGACCATTCTCCTTTAAACAATCATCTAAATGAGACCTAACAGTTAACATTTACCCTAGACCAAAGATGAGAAGGTAAAGGGGGACAAGGAAATTTTCTCCAAAATCACAATAAAATATTAAAAAAGAAAGAAAGAAGAAAATACTCATGCCCCTCCTGTGAAAGACCTTTGCATTCTCTCACAGGTCTTTCTTTATACCCCCAACCCTGCAAAAAAATAAGCTAGTCTATACAGAAACCACAGTGATCCCCATCCCTCGCTCACTTTGAAAAAAAAAAAAGTTGCAGTAGAGTAGATTCCAACTCATGGGGATCCCATGTTACAGAGTAGAACTGCTCCATAGGGTTATCTTGGCTATAATCTTTACAGGGAACCCTAGTGGCACAGTGGTTAAGCACTTGGCTGCTAACCGAAAGGTCAGTGGTTTGAATCCACCGGCCACTCCACGGGAGAAAGATGTGGCAGTCAGCTTTTGTAAAGATTACAGCCTAGGAAACCCTATGGGGCAGTTTTATTCTGTCCTGTAGGGTTGCTGTGAGTCAGAATTGACTCCACGGCAATAGTATGGGTTTAATCTTTATGGAAGCAGATCACCAGGCCTATCTTCCTGTGTGTGTGTGTGTGTGTGTGTGTGTGTGTGTGTATACGTGTGTGTGCGCGCACATTAGGTGGAGGTGTGTAGAGCAAATTAGATTCCCGTTCAATAGTTTGTACATAAAGTGTTTCATTCCCCGCAATGTGTCAGCACTCTCCCCATTTCTGCCCTGGGTTCCCTGTTCCCTTTCGTCCTGATTTTCTTACCCTTTCCTGCCTTCTCATCTTTGCTTTTGGGCAGGTATTGCCCTTTTCATCTTGTATAATTGGTTGTTCTATGGAACACCTCTCAGGTGTTACTGTTTATTTTATGGGCTTGTCTACTGTATGGCTGGAAGGTGGTCTCCGGGAATGGCTTCGGTTCCAGGTCAGAAGGGTGTTTTAGGGCCATAGTCTCGGGGGTTCTGCCACTCTCTGTCAAGCCAGTAAGTCTGCTCTTTTTTGTGAATTTTATTTTTCATTCTACATTTTTCTCCTTCTCTGTCCGGGACCCTCTGTTGTGATCCCAGTCACAGATCCATCTTCTGCGGTGCCACTGGGTAGGTTTGAAATGCCAACCTTTAGGTCCACAGCCAATCACAAACCGTTTGTGCCACCCAGGGACCTTTTATCCTCTTCCTAAACCCTACACCCACTTACATATGCATATAGGCAAAGAAATAATCAAACTGTGCAAATGCAGGTTTTCCTCAAGCTTAGAGTTAAAAGGTTCTGGATATGTTTTCTTCTTTAAATATCTTCAGTCTACAATTTTCTTAATAGAACTAAACACCTCAACAGAGCCAGTAACAATGCCATTGGTAAAATGGAAGCCGGGCATTATCATGATATTTCTTAGCATTTAAAAATAATTAGCCTCCCCAGTTTTAAAGTGCAATCTTCAGAAGCTAGGAGTCAGAATCTTCCCCTCTTCTGGAAGGCCCTCCTTACGTTGACTCTGGTTAACTTTTTATAGTTGGAGTATTACGAATGCCACATGGCTGACATTGATTTTTTTTCCTTGCTTTTTATTTTTTTATTATTGTACTTTAGATGAATGTGTACAGAACAAACTAGCTTCTCATTCAACAATTAGTACACATATTGTTTTGTGACATTGGTTACCAACCCCACAACATGTCAACACTCTCCCTTCTTGACCTTGGGTTCCCTTTTACCAGCTTTCCTGTCCTCTCCTGCCTTCTAGTCCTTGCCCCTAGGCTGGTGCTGACATTGATTTTTTTACTAGTACATATGCCATTCAAGTGATTAAGTCGCCAAGGGAATTTGGGTTCGGAAACACCATAAAGGGCTGTATCTTGCAAAGGTAATTTATAAACAGTCTCCAATGACAGGCCAAACACAAAACATTAGGGAGCTGGGGGATCTCAACCAGACGATCCCATCAACTCAGGCCCTGCTAGGAAGCGACAAGGGCATTTAAGGGCCTTGACACGCAGGCAGGTCCATTGAGTGTTCCACCCCAGCTCAAGGATTCCAGCTCTCGAGGCCTTCACTGCTGCCAGGTACTGAGCCAAGCCCTCCAGAGCCCAGTGGAAAGGTTTGGACTTGCTGGCAGAACAGTTCTTTTCTGCATGTATTATGCGAACAGATGTGAACAAAGAAGTAGGTCAAGCTGTGGGTGTAGTGATCCTAACTGGCTGTGTCCCTTTAACTATAAGGAAACTTTGTAGCACTGCAGCTTTCCACCAGCTGAATTGGGAAGAGGGGAAAAAATTTAAAATTCCTTGGAACAGAAGGATGGCACTAAATATACCAGCTGGGACCAGGATGCAGTGCACGGTTAAGCATCAGAGCAGGGGAATATGCCTGAAATGGTGGCAGGCGTATTTCTTCCTTGTCCAAATGATGGGAAATATACTTACAAGTGTAAAGAAAAAAAGAACTGTTACTGCTAAATACAATGGATGATAAACTTACTGTTGAGGAGATGGGTGGGGAGGGGTAGGAAGTGAGGAAGACTAAAACCATGTCCAGTCAAAAGTTCACCATGTGGTTTCTCAAAAAGTTAAACATAGAACTGCCATATGACCCAGAAATTGTCCTCCTAGGTATATACCTCAAAGAACTGAAAGCAGGCACTCAAACAGCTACTTCTACACCAATGTTCACTGCAGCAGTATTCACAGTAGCAAAAAAAAAAAAAAAGGAAACAATCCAAGCATCCATCAACAGATGAATAGATAAACAAAATATGGTATATCCATACAACGGAATATTATTCGGCCAAAAAAGGAACAAAGTTCTGATACATGCTACAACACAGACAGATCTTGAAAACATTATGCTGGGTGAAATAAGTCATATACAAAAGAACAAATATTGCATGAGTCCACTTATATGAAATATCTAGAATAGGCGAATTCATAGAGACAGAAAGTAGCTTGGACATGACAAGGGACTAGAGAGAGGAGGGAATGGGGAGTTATTGCTTAATGTGCAGTGATGAAAAGTTCTGGAAATGGATAGTGGTGAAGGTTGTAAAACACTGTGAGCGTACATAATGCCACTTAAAAAGTGGTTAAAATGGCAATTTTTATGTTACATATATTGTGCCACAAAAAAACAAAGCTCTCCATAATCTGCAGCATAAATACATTTCCCGAAGAATTGTTCAGGGATCTTCCTCACGTATTTAAAAGTGGGGTCCAGGGTTCTGACAGGAATTCATCAGACCACAGGCAGTCTGCGAATATCTTGAAAATCTCTTACACCTTCCTCAAGACATCTGACTAATAAGATATGAAGACCAAGGGCCCTTACGTCATAAAAAACAGCATTCTCTTCTAGATACAGCCCACACTCCACTGCCAGGAAGAAGGGACTGGGCCAAGAAGAGAGGCACCACCTGGTGGCAGGGGCAGCAAACAGCCAACTTCTCCATGAAAGCTGCATGGGTCGAGCTTCCCACTCAGCCAGGTATCCCTGGGGATGTGGAAAGGCCCTTATCTATTCCAGGTCCTATGGGGCATGGGGGGAGTCAGGTGGATCTACCCTGGGTATTTTAAGGATCTGCCACTCAGCAGTGGTCTGGAACTTTCCTGGACTCCGTATTTACGGTTGTCATTAAAGATTTCAATGCTTCCATGTCTATTTCAGCTGGAACCAGATGGTGCACACATGTACATGATACATGGATGGCCCCTGCTTCCTGGTTCTGGAAAGTTAGCCTCTGGCAACGAGGGCAGAGGGGGATGTGGCCAACACTTCCAAAGTGGCTGCATCAGTCTGTGATGAGGGAAGGCCTGATGGAGCAATGGCCCTTCTGTTAGTGCCTGACCTGCAGCCTGAAAGCCCACACTTCACATTAATTCTTTTGATTTCAAACATTACTACTCCCATCCTCCTCTGACTTCAAAGTCCAACTCTCTGTATGAAGAATGACAAGGTGCTCTCACTCCATGATCCCTTGGTGTGATTTGCTTCATATAATGACCTTATCTGTCACATTCAACTGACATGAATACTGAAGGGAAGGTGATTTGGACAGGAAGGTAGGAAATGACATGGCTCAGTGTCAAGGGCATGGATTTATGCCCTGGATTCCAGGGCTAGCTCTGCCATTCACTAGCTCTGTGACCTTGGGCAATTACTTCCTCTTCTGAGCTTCTATTTCCTTACCTGTAATAATGCCTACCTATCTCAGTGATGTGGAGCCCTGGTGGTGTAGTGGTTAAAAGCTCAGCTGCTAATCAAAAGGTTGGCAGTTTGAATCCATCAGCTGCTGCTTGGAAACCCTATGGGGCAGTTCTACTCTGTCCTATAGGATTGCTATGAGTCAGAATCAACTCAACGGCAATGGGTTTGGGTTTTTTGGATCTTTGTAATGGAGTCCTTGGGTGGTGTAAACGGTTAATGTGCTCAGCTGCTAACCAAAAAGTTGGTGGTTCAAGTCCACTTGGAGGTATTTTGAAAGAAAGCCTTGGCAATCTACTTCTGAAAAATCAGCCATTGAAAATTCCATGGAGCTCAGTTCTACTCGAACAC